TGAAGACTACACAAAAACAGACTATAATGTTTACTGCCTTATCACCTACAAGAAATTTCATCCTGTCCCACTGAGCCATTTTTACCTTCATTGTTACCATTCTTACCCTATACTGTGTTTGGCCTTTTGTGTCAGACTGCACCTATCTGACCTCTCTATAGTTATGACCATTTTACCCACAAATCAAAACCATGTGAAACTCCACATAATCTATGTTGACAAATGAAACAATAAGTGAGATCTGTAACAAGTGAGCATGAGCATTAGGCAGAACACAGACAAAAATAGACACAAAGGAAGGAAAGTACAGCACAATCAGGTTCAACAACCCAACATGTTGGTGCAGCACAGAGTGTTTCAGAATTTAAGTTATCCAACATTCACATGCTAATATGGCCTTAAAGATAGACAAAGACTCAATATTTACAAATAGTGCACTTGTGCAATATGCAGTGGATTTCAACAAGCCATATTTTATAGCCACTCTGTGAGCTGTACTTCTGTGCACTGAAGTAGGTATTAACGTTAGCATGCTAACTTGCTTGCAATGACGACATTAACACACTGATTAGAGCTGAAGCAAAAGCTGAGTGATTGATTAGTTGTTTGACAGGAACATATTCAGCAACTGTAAAATGCCAAATGTTCCCCAGTTCCAACTTCTACATTGTGTAATTGCTAGTTTTATTTATCTTTTATTCTCTAGCCTAGGTGACAGGGGACATTAATGTTTGTACCACATTTCATGGCAGAAACTGTCAAGGCATCTCACACTAAACCACAGGGTGGTTGTATAAAAAGGATTACCAAAGCCACAATCTGGGAACCAGTAATGTCTTGACAAACAACTGGAATATGTTGAACTATTTTTCAGGATAAGTGAAAAAAGTCAACGAATTCATCTAGTGGGCAGCATGAATAACAAATTTTATAGAAATCCAAATAATAGTTGTTGACACAAAAATATACATACTGATAAAATGCAGAAAAAGTCAGGGGATCGCTAAAGGCATTTGGTGGAGACATCGTGTGGGGACCATCAATATCTGTACAAAGTTTAAATGAAATCCATGCGATGTTTGTTGAGATAGATTGACAGAATGACTTTGTTATGCATACACCCATGTCACTATAGCAGCTAAACTCTACTGTCTATGCAAACACCTGAGCCAGTTTTTTCAAAACTGTTCCTCTTGTCCCCTGAGGGGGAAACATCGGTGATGTTTCTTAGAATGAGCATAAGCATGAAAAGTGCACAGCAGAAGGCTTTCACCACCACGATGATCTACAGGCCTAATGTACAGAGATGATTGATGTCAATGTCCCCCTCTTAATCACTTGAGAGGTATGCAGCCTCTTGACAGTCTGGCAGCCATTTTGGATTCTTCTAATGACTACAGAGACAGGTTGCCGATGATGTTAGCTGATGCCGGTCTCACGGATCACTACCATTCTGTCAGTGATTAAGTGACTCATCTACCTCTAGTAAACAAACCCCCAGTAGAGCATCTTGTATCCATCAAAATGCCTTTGACTCGCTCCGCTTATCTAACTTGGAGGGAATCCATCATATCATACCTGTACAAAACAGTGGATACTGTGTGGTCTCTCGAGATTTGTCCCATAAACAAACACTTCCTGCAGCCGTACATGTGTAAAGGGAGCACTTCTTTTTTGACTGCAGAAATGTACAGCATTCCCATATGTGTTTTGCTTCAGGGAAACGAAACTGAAGACACTTGGAAGTTATTTGTGACCTCATTTCTGGAGCTTCTACAGCAAACAACTTGATAAAACTCAAATGCTAATGAGAAAAATGAGAAAACATATCTTTCCAATTTTACATTTTTGCAATATAGCTTTCATAGCAGGAAATGTTTTTGTTTCATAAAGCCAGCTTTCTTATAATATTACTTGGAGAAATATAGCAAACAGAGACATTTGTGAAAATGCAGCTGACAAATGGAGCTTTGAAAAGAGCTACGTCGCTTGACACATATTATACGCTTCAGGAAACCTTTTGTCATCCTCTCTAAGGGCTAATGTGTCTCAGCATAGATGTTCACCAGCACAGTCCGTTCTGCACAAAACCAAAGCAATGCACTTTAGTCTTTATTCATAGCTGCATGAGTGGGACAAGTGTGATGATGTAACAGATCTTTCTTAAACTGCAAGGGCAACATTGTTTGTCTGGACAACCCCTGAGGCTCAGTTTGATTTCAGCAGATTAATTTAGCTTCTTCTCTTACGCAACACTATCTCAGTTTTGAAGAAGTCTCACCGATCTTAGGGTCACCTTTGACTCCTTGCATGGGTGGTTAGCTACTGAACTATGGTCCCTTGATAAGAACTTAGAGAGGAAACAGTACAGCTCTTGAAAAGATCCTTAAACATCAGAATAGGATCTGATAGCAGGAAAGCTGTTTGGCAGACGACTGCACTGAGAAACAGCACAGGTGAAAATGCACTAATGGGAAGTGACTTTGATGAATACAGCACATACCCGTAATACAGCACAAACAGTACAGTTACAAAAAAATCAAAGATCAGTGGTATGAGAATCCCGCAGAGCATGTGCTTGAGGCAGATTATCCATGGGCTAAAATAACAACATAGTTTTGACTCTAGCTCTGCTAAAGTAGATTCTCTTCATAGTATGTTGTTACTATAGAATGAAAAACATCTTCAAAAAAAAAAAAAATTCACCCCAGGAAGAATAAAATAATCAAACCACCAAAAGATTTGTTCAGAATAGCAAGGACACATTGTGCCTGAAACATGTAGTAGCCGTGTATACTGAGGTCGCCTTTAGCAGAAACATAGTGACAGTTACACTGACGTGTGCTGATGTGAGCAGGGACACTCAATAATTAATCAATAAAATATTAGCAGCATATAAGCTATAAAGGGCATGATCAGATACGATTATGATCACTACATGGATCTTAAAATAAGAGAGAGTGAAGGTTGACTGGACTGAGCTGTCAGCCAGAGAATGAGGTTACAATACAAGAATGGTTCAGCTAAAGATCTGGATGTCTAATCAAACTGTTGGCAGTCAAGTTTCATTGTGGGTACTATAGGTGTCATGTTTTGACAAAGGAGAAAAATGCATGTCTATCATGAGTCTGGCAGTTTTATAGAAGTGCAATGCTGAATTGACAGCATACAGGATTTGTTTAAAAACTCCCTTCAGATCCACAGAAGATGTTATGCAACTGTTTCTCAGGCTAAGTAGTGCTCTTAGTCACAAGTAAATGGATCTTCATGTGTAAACTGGGGGAATGCCCCTTTAATAACCATAAATCTCACATTATGTCACTGACTCAGCAACACAAGTCAACAGGTTTATCACAACTTATTTTCTCTTATATATTTCCTTGCTTATCTCAAAAGCCAACTCAACGACAAATAACCAAACCATTGTCTGCACACCACAGAGCTTATTCATGGCTCCACGGTCCATTTGTTTCCTGAAAGATAAAAAAGGAATGAAAGAAAAACAATTGTGGCAGATCTGTAATTCCCACCTGGACAGGCTGTGTGACAACACAGCCCACAACAGGTGAAATCACTGGCTGATTTTATCAGCTCGAGCAGCATTCATTTCATCATTAAGAATAAAAATGCACCCAGGAAAATTCACACATGTGCCAGTTTGCAAAACACCAGACTTTGATGTGTCTGCTCATATTTCAGAGACTTAAGTGTTTGCTGAACTGCAGCCAACTGCCAAGACAATACCAGACCTTTGAGATATACCATGCTCTGGTGTAGTGACGCTCTCAGGCTATAGAGGAAAGCTGATAGCCAAGTGATCTGTCAGCTGTCCGAGGGCCAAGGCTATTTGATTTCAGCCATCAATGTGGGGATAAAAGTGAAAGATGTGAAAAACTACAGTGGACATAGTGGGATTTAGGGCTTCTGGCCTTATTCTCAGGTAATTATTGGATAAATATACACTGCAGAAAATCTTGGTTTTGATAATAAAGTCATTATACTGTATTGTTTTATGGACATGACTCTCATTTAAACATGTAAAAATGTGTTGGGTGTGCTTGTAATGTGATCACATGTCCCATGAAATTGAATTCAGACTTGGATTCAAAGAGCCGGACATTCCACTAGCTTGATTTTCTTGTAAAAAACAGCCCAGACATGTTATTACCTGACATCATCCCTCCTCTTGTCTGTCCTCTTAGGATGACTAACACACTCTCCTTGTTCTTCAACAAGAGCTGTGTGCTGGTCAGCACCACAAGGCCACCGGACCCCAGATAGTCGCACTCTGGCACTGGATACCAAAAAACCCATCACTAGATAACACGTTTCTCGCTGTCAACCACACCACAAGAAATCAGGTTAAATGCCACTATCTGCACACTATGGGAGCCTCTTCTATTTTTATTAATGGTGCTGACAGCCTCTATTCTTTGGAGAGAGGCATTGCATTTCTTGGAAATGGTTATAAATAAGTACTGAGGTGTCCACAAGGTTCCTTATTTATCTATTTGCATAGTTTTGTATTGTCTTCAAAAACCGGCGACAGCTGTTTTCAACAAAAAAATGTGCTTCATACTGTAAATTCATGTCAATCTTCAATCCAAGCATAGTTTATTCAGTGAGGTGAAAACCTGTTGTTAATGATTAGGGATGACCTGGTTGCTCCTAATTTCTTTGATGTAACAACCCTTTAAACAGTGCAGAGAACTTAGACTGGATTTCAGACATTTTGAAATCCCCCTTTAGGGAAATTTCTTTGATACCAACCACGGTGGTAACTATACAATCTACCTGATCTCCCACCATCTTTTTCCACTAAACTATTGGTGGGTGTGGGAATAGTAGGGCAGCTGTATGTAACATCACCTTTTAAGCACTCACACTGGAAGAAGATGCAGATGCAAGAAAGAAAGAAAAAGTAAAATACTTGCGCTAAGCTCACAGCTGAATCAGTAATCATTTCTCAGAAAGGACTTCATTCTGAATGCATGACTCACCTAAAAGCTGGATCCCCCTGGTGAGGCCATAGACATCTATGAGGGCCCACAGAAGTTCAGAGACACGTACCCCGCTAAAGAACAGCATGGGGCTCGAGTCGTTGATTCGGTAAAACACGCGGCCCTTCTTGTCCACCCAGAAGGAGATGATGTTTCCCTCATTGGAGAGCTCCTCTGGCAGGGCTTTTGCCCAGAAGCCGCTCTGGGAGACCAGGTCAGGGCAGGCGTATTTGGGCAAGGTGTCTGGATTGATCCTTGATGGATCTCTAGATGTAAAGCCAAGACGCAGAGCACCACTCCAGCAGCACTGCTTTTTAGTAATCTGAGAAGTAAATATTTTTATATTAATAAAGATAATCAGCTCAAAAACATTTACATTGTTGTGTAAAAGAATAAAGCCCCATTCTGACTGGATTCAGTTCTCTAGGGGAGAAGAGGTGAAGTTAACATTGATTTTAATCCATTAAGCTTCTATGTAGGTCTTTCACCATGGCCAACCATAGTGCCAAGATGCTAATTTGGCTAAAACAACATATTTGTTTTAAGCAAACTAGTCACCTTGACATGTTCGTCACCTGCAAATGACTTTTCTCTTTGCATTTACTGTGCAAGATAGCAGTGTTCCTCACATGGCAATGCTTGTCCTGCTCTCTCACTTTCAAGACATAGATGGCCTGATAGGTGAATGGAAACTTGTTTTAAGCTGGTGCTGCTTTGGTCCACGCAAAGGCAAAGAGAGAAAAGCGAGAAAATCAAAACAGGGGAGCAAAGAAGCAGGATGAAAACAGAGAGAGACAGGGAGCGAAAAGAAAAACAAAAACACAGGGAGGGAGAATTAAAGAAGATGGGTGGTAGAGACAGTGTGGGAATTAGTTTTCATCACTGTCACAATCGGTGCCTTAATTTCTCCCTAATCAACGGTACACATACTATCACAAAGTGCAATGTGTACTCTAATAGTACTGTAAATCCTAATTTTGATGTTTTAACAGTTTATTTTCCATTGTCTGAGATGTAAATGTAGCTGTTACACATTTTTCATCTCAGCACTTTTTAGTACTGACTGAAATCTCTTAACTGCAAATTAAAAATGACTTGGACACAATCAGTCAGTACAGCACCAGTTCAGTTACAAGTTTACTTTATCTAGTACCCATGGGTTGAAAACCCCCTAGACAGGGTTGTTTGACCCAGTGTTAGTTTTATTTTGATTGTACTTTTGGTCACAATTTGATTGTTAATAATGCATGTTCTTAATAGTTTTTCATTTCTTATGTAGAGCTTGAACAACAATTTGTGACAGTTTTAAAGTGAAACTTGAGCTTTTTATATCTAAATAAACCAACAGCAGTATAAAATCAACACTTTTAATCTTGCTGGATCAAAACAGCCCACTACCTACAGCAGCGTCTTGTTTACCTTCAGCCGAACTTGCTCATAAACAGCGATAGGCCTGTTGCTGAAGGTGATGGCATTACAGAAGCTGGCCTGTCTCTTGACGGTCCTCTGTGACATGTCCATTACGATCTGTGAGCCTTTCGTGCTGGGGTGGAAGAGCAGAGGGAAGTAGGGCAAACTTCCACATGGCTGGATGTGTGTGCAGCGCTTGGGCTTGTGGTGGCATCGGTGGGATGTTGCAGGAAACGGCCCATTCAAAGAATCTATGCAGAGACAGAAAAGTGGTTGCTCAGTTTGGTCCAGAGGTGGGAAGCGGGAAATACTTTACTGAAAAAATAGACACAATTTTAGGCAAAATAACAAAATTTTAGATTTTGAATATTAGATTAGCTAATCATTACCTCCCGAGGCTATGTTTTATATAATATACTGACATATGTCACATGTTATTTCCTCTCACATATCTTACTTGCTCCTGCAACATCCAGTTAAGTACAAGTGCATTAAAACAATCTAATACTTGGGTCCTGCTTCCAGCTTTTCAAGGTAGCACAGTACAACCCTCCATCTACTGTAGATGTGAACAATGTTCAAGGTAAATTACATAACAAAGATGTCTATGGATGGACAAAAAAACCCCCCACAGATACAGAATTGACCCCTTGATTACATAATTAAGCAGAACAAACCAGCTAATACAAAATACTCTGATTTCAATGAATGATCATTTTCTGTAACAACATATCTATTTGTTGTTCTAAATCTTATCAAATTTGTTATGTATATCTCATTTGTGGTTTGTTTCTTTATGTGCTGAAACACATTTGTACAATGATAACTTGAGATGCGCTGATGTTTTGGTGAGCATGTATCATGCAATATTTAGGTATTGTCACTAATTATATATGCATAATCACTGCTGCTAAATGAGATTTAGTGACATTGATTAGTGCTTTGCCAGTAAAAGGAAGTGGCAAAATAGGAGCAAGAACACAGTAGAACATCACAAGTCACTAACTGGCATTACTCACAACATGTAGCAAAAGTTCTAGATGTGACCATGTGAATCATGACTACTTCCTTTCACTATAACAGATTAAAGAGTGTAACATTTTTTTAATACCACATGTGTGTTTGTGGATATTAAACTGATAAGGAATGTGCTTAAAGTCATCATGAGCCTGATTTCACACTCACTCCCTCAGCTCTCCTCATTTGTTTTCACATTTCTCTTCAAAGCACAACACCAAGGTCACTGCAGTTTAGTGGAGGAGGCATTTTCTCACAGACACTGGGTTCTCATTAAATTTAAGGCAGGTCTATTTTGAGCTGAATATCATCTCCTCAAGTGATTTGATACAGTTTTCTGTAAATCCTTTCTACAATGACATTTAAAGGTTTTAAAGTACCACAAAATCCAATTTGCTAATAAATAAATAATGTAGTCCCAATTAACACTTCTTCATCCTTGAGAACTGCTTGTATTTTCACACCTAAATTTGGAAGACTCTGTAGGAGCTGCTTGTGTTTGTCTGTGAGAGAAGCGAACTACAGAATATAAGCCTTTGGTAAAAGACAGATATATATATTGCTGTCTAGTGAGAGACCTTGGACAGTCAAGTGGTTTATAATGTACCTAGAGACAAATCAACTAAGACAGATCAGCAGTGACCATGTGATGTCTGTCCTGATGTCACTATTGTTTGATTTGGTATGAGGAAAAGGTTTCCAGCCATGGTAACATTTTTCTGCAGAGTCTTCAAATTACAACGGGAGAGGCTCTGCCAGGGTTCTGGGGTCAGTACAGTGTATTTGTTAAGACGGTCACATGTTCTTGTCCCCGCAAAACAATGTTGAATTGTGCTCTGTGAACATCAGCGGTCTTACTGTAAATGAAGTCACAACAAATCCTACAAACATTTTGCACCCATGATGTCTTTAGGAAAACAAAACAGGACTGCATTGTGCTCCATCAATGACCAGGCCCAAGACTAAATAGAGTATTTTCTGTAAGGTCTTAAAACAGAAGCAACACCTCAGAGGCCTC